GACTGCTTCTTCGCTGGTCGTAACTGGTGCTGGAATTCCGCGCTACAACTTACGTGTACTACTAATTACATTTATTCTCGGTAAGACCCCGTGCCAGTATAAGACTTTGAGGTTAATACATAATCGCTTCATTAACTCCTGCTAATGCATCATCTTGTCCTTGCGGATCATTTTCACACAGAATTAACGTTGTACAACGAATACAGTCCATGTTTCGGCATTCGGGCCATCCTTGTGAGTTAGCCATGACAGATCCATCACCGACCTGTTCGTGTGTTTTGTTCTTCAGGAATGACTTGCGTTTTTTCGGCGGCGGAAGGCTCTCCTTTTCGAGGCTTGCACTACCAGTGTGCTAAACGCCCTTGTGAACGTTTTCCAGGCGACTTCTAGGGGCATTTAGTTAACAAGATCCCAGCTGTATCGTTGACAAGAGTGGATAACATGTAGTAGTGCGTGCCAGTATATACTTCATCGTACTTCTCTTCAGAATGTTCCTCACAACATATATAGTCAAACAACAGAGCAACATGGTCACTGCGACCAAATGGTGTGCTTGCAACCATCCCATCGACCATAAGCTCTTCGCTGTTGGACACAAGATCCAGTATTGATGGCTGGTTTGCAGTTCGAAATCCGTAGGGCGAGATTACGTGGTTGTACCGAGATTAGCTGGAAATTAACCCCTAGCAAACAGGCTTTTGATTGTTCCCATCGATTGTTGATAATTCCAGGTCGTGCACAATAGTCACCCCCGTTGAGAATATAACTGTATGACTTGTTCAAAGCAATTCATAAAACGTGGTTCAGTTTTGTGACCATATTAAAGTAGTTTGGTGGACAACCAATTACGGCTACGACACACATGTGTCCTCGTTCCGAAAACATTACCGTCACTAATGGAAATCAGGGGTGCGAATTTATGGGTGATCAGAAACGTCACATAGATGCATAGCTTACTAGTAAAAAAAATCCATACCACCACCCCTCCCAGCCCTATCGATCCGAAGCGACGACATATAAAGTAAATTGATCTCAGAAACGGTTACCACAATATTTAACTAGGATGCTATACTTTTACTTAGATCCAGCAGTTGTGAGGTATGGCGCTCTACAATTTCGGCTTACTTACTAACGTGAACTAGAGCGTTAGTATATAAACCGGATAGTGTATTCAGACGTTAAGAGTGTAGTGGTGAATGTGAAAATCGGGCATCTGTATAAGCTATTACTTTTGCCATTATTCCAAGCATTTCGTCCGGATGCAGGGCATTACCGTGTTCCAGATCGGAATCCTCAAACGTGCTCCGCTCTGTCCTGTCGTTTACCGCGAGTGATGTTGTGGCGGCCCTCTCTTGGGGCTTTGGAGACAAAGAATTTGCTGCGATTGCAGTCCCCATCGAATTGCTGACAACTCATGGCCGTGAGTCCGTTACCTTTAGTCCGATCTCGGTTGGCAACCTAGTGCGAACTGGTGTCAATTAATAAAGCAACCAAACTGCGGGTGTGTCATTCACGTGACAAAAGCTCCTGCGATAAACATGACAATCGTGCGACTGTGACGACGAACTTGTAGATCACTCGCGTTCTACTTTATATGACCGGACAGGAGCAGTGACCGGTTGCAACAACAGTCGTCACCGACCGTGATTCCACTTAACAGTAAATGTAGCGATACTACATGCACCCGAGTGCTCAGGACAATATTGATCTGCGATAAATGTGCAATTGCATTCCACGCTAAGCGTGGTGTCTTATGACAACTACAGTGCGTCCGATATGCTTGGATTGATCCCCGTAGTCTAGCCATACTTGCACATTAAATTTCCGCAGTTTTCGCTCCTTGATAAAACAGATTAATTCCAACACTTGTCCGGCGATCCAGTCGGTAAAGTGTGTTTGACGGGGGAGGCGCACACGGCTACATCAACGTTTAATATGTCAACTCTTCAGCGTGGAAGCAATGGACTTCACTCTATCTTTACTGTGTACACATATGACATACTGGGTAGCTCTGTAACTGAGTCTGGCGACTCCAAATTCCACGGCGCTGCAGCTGGTCGAGGGATGAGGAGCAGACCGACCACAATTGAACGATCGGTAGGTTCTGGTCTCTGTGCTGCCGTCAGAATTTTTGGTGGGGCAAAATAAGCGAGCAAGTACTTGGCAGCGAGTGCAGCATGCGGTACAGTTGATGAAATGCAGGTGACTTGTCAGTGTAACAATCCATTGCGCTCCTTGGGTCGTGCTACGTGGCTTGTACACAGCTGTGCAACCGCAAACGGCATTGAATATGCCTAAACTTTGCGGATGTATGTAAAAACTAGCAGGCTGTCGGGTCTATAGTGACTCAGTGGTTAGACGCGGAACTGAAGTCATCGGTTAGGTACTGGTTCTACTGTGGTAAAGTTGGATATGGCCCTGTCGGACGAACTTTCACGTGATGCACATCTGCCGCTATCATTTTCCGCTGTTGCATCCGATCTATGTTCCCAATGTCGTAGACAGACCAGCGTACACCTGAGCAATAAATGCTCTATGTGCGTTTATTTTTATACGAAGTACTGATGAAACACAGCAGTGGTAGACTCTCCGGTGGACTGAAACCTAACTCCCAACAAACCAGTTTAAAAATGTGGGAACGACTTTAAACTTGGCCTTTCACATTAAACATAAGAGAGGCTTAGTAGGTTAGTAATTGCTGGCTGCTAAGTAAATAAATAAAATCAACTCTCGAATGTTTCGGGACACGCCAAACCGAGCACGATCATAATTTGCTTACGGCGGAGGAATTTGGAGTCGCCAGACTCAGTTACAGAGCTACCCAGTATGTCTTATGCGTACACAGTAAAGATAGAGCGAAGTCCATTGCTCCCACGCTGAAGTGTTGACACATTAAACGTTGATGTAGCCGTGTGCGCGTCTCCCGTCAAACACACTTTACCGACTGGATCGCCGGACAAGTGTTGGAATTAATCTGTTTTATCAAGGAGCGAAAACTGCGGAAATTTAATGTGCAAGTATGGCTGGACTGTGCCTCTTGCTGAGGCTGATGTTGCATTCATGATGCTTCTTCACCGCAGTTGGGCTAAACCAACTTACACTTAAACTAGGTCTTTTCAATGTGAATGAAATTCATTACATGTTATTTGGTTTGTTCTGCGTACTTGATAATCTTCTCCCAACTTGCACACGTCACTCACACAAATTGTGGTAAACTTGCGTAATTTTATCGCGTGGTATTTCTTAACTGACTTTCGGACATTTTGTACTTATCACGGATTCACTTATAACCAATTTCTTCTACATGCTCATTTAGCGAGTGTTTATGTGGTCATATTCGTTTACTTTACTTGATATCGGCATTTCGAACGATTGACTGTTGTTTGACATCCCAGGTGTGGCTGCGCTTGATGTGTATGTTGACAAGGTGCATACCTGTCTAGTACCCACTACTTCGTTCATACTGCCTCCAGGAGACAGTTGGTCGTTGCTGGAGGGGACGGGGTGCACGGTCCTTGTGGTCGTGCTAGGCTCGAAGAGTGGTTACATGCACTCAGTGTGGAGCGGACTACGGTCCAGCCACCGCCTTGTATGCGCTTGATTGCCAAATAGAGCCTGCTTGTGTTTGCCTGTGAAGGAGTGTGGGCCAGCTCCGTTGATGAAACGTGGCTCCCATCCGCAGGCCTCCCGGTCTTATTCCTTCGGGTTTACACTGGATATCGGGTGTGTGGTTGGAGCTGTGGGTGGTGCAACGCAAGCCATCCATGGTCCCTCTGTAGGCGCAGGCGTCCTGTGGCTGGCCACAGTGACAGGCAAATCCGAAACCGGATTCCGCCAACCATGGCTGGACTACGGCGATCAATCCAAGCATATCGGATGCACTGTAGTTGTCTTAAGCCACCACGCTTAGCGTGGAATGCCATTGCATATTTATCGCAGATCAGTCTTGTCCTGACCACTCGGGTGCATGTAGTATCGCTACATTTACTGTTAAGTGGAATCACGGTCAGTGACGGCTGTTGTTTCAACCGGTCACTGCTCCCGTCCGGTCATATGAAGTAGAACGCTAATGATCTACAAGTTCATCGTCACCGGCGCACGGTTGTCCTGTTTATTGCAGGAGCTTCTGTCACGGGAATGACACACGTGCAGTTTGGTTGCTTTATCACTTGACACCAGTTCGCGTAGGGCTAGGTTTTTGACGTAAACTCTAGTGGGTGGATATCCGCAACAGAGTGATGTGGATTTGTCCACTTTAACTTAAATTCACAACTTAAGCTTTAAATTCCTTAAATGCAGTCTTATGCAGTAATATTTATATCATCCGAAAGCCCAGAGAATCCGTTATCGATTGCAACTTTACAACTCTGTGTTTTATTGAAAAGGAACAAACTTACGCATGTAAATTTGAGCACGAGACCTGCAGTAATCCTGATCTCTAGTGAACTGTTTCTCAAATAGTGTCCACTGAAAACGGGAAGTTAATCCCAAAAGATGAGCGTGTGATGGCTGCGATGAATGAAAACGACATAGTAGTGTGCTAGCTATGTGACCAGTTCTCGATTATTCGCTTCTGCACGATCACAACTACGTGTAACGCAACGTTTCCGTCACCGACGCGGATTATAACCGATGACCTCCGGATTGCAAGTCAGGCAAGTAATCCGTTTGGCTATCGACACCTAACCAACAAGCCAAATTTCAACCATTCCTTTAGCTGGAAAGCGTCTGTAAAATGTTTCAGACAGGGGTAGGTGGATATTTTGATTGCCTTGCACACTCTAATTATTGTGAGTTGATAGTGAAATGCGATATATTAGTGAGTGACTGGACGATGCGTAACTGCGACTAGTTTCTGTGGCCTATCCAGCACAAAGCATGATGCTCTGTTCAGGTTTCTTAACCATACGGATGCACCCCTTATGTATCAAGTGATCTGATTAATTGCTGTTTGGATAGGCCAGCAAAAGACTCAGCTTGCTATAGAAATAATTCCTACCATGTATTTTGTTTATCTACCCAGGGTCATTATCGAACCATTGGCCGAGGCAACTCTGTCAGTGACTTTTCGTGCGCAGCAGAGAGGTCGGTTAGAGAGAACGTTAAAGATTTCAATTTGTGATGTCGAAACTGCGGAATTGGTGAGTTTTGATTTTCTTTCATATCTCGGCAACGTTTGACAGAATCCCCGGTTGTGTACAAATGACAAGCTTCAAATTTGTGTTTCCGGGCCTCTGTCTATCTTTGTGGTTCTGCACATGCTTCATTTGCTTATATATTTAAAAGTGATCATATATGTATAAATAAAGTCTACATTACATGTCGGCTACTGAGCTGAGGCACATGTTGTCGTTTTATCCAAATTTCCAGAATCATTTCATTAACCTGACACTTTTCAGGTTCGTAACTTATAGCAACAAATATGAGTCAAACAAGCTTGTTAGTTGACAATACAGTAATACTTTACGAAACTCACTCTTAGAATGATTCCACTCGTCATAACCCGCATCCATTTGCTCTGTTTATCTTTGTTCACTATTCTTAAACCGCGACACACCTGTTTCCCTTATTCTATGTACCTCAACAGGTAGTTCCAGTTACTTGCGTTGGTGAGGGACCGGTTCTGCATGTGGAGCCCACTAGTGTTAACTGGGGCACAATACCAGTACTACAGACGACGACAAGATGCATCCGTTTAACCAATGAATCGGCAATTGATGCCACGTTTACTGTGAAAACGGTGAGTTCAAGCGAGAACAGGCTAGCAGACCAACACCTGTGTGTACCTTGGCCTCACAACACATACCTCGTCTCAGTAAGAGATTTCTGCTGCATTGCTACAACACTGATTTGTCATGAGGTGCGAAGATAAATGTAATGTGTTAGCATTGTTTGACAGCTGCGAACTACCACACGGTAACTCGGTCCAATAAGCAAAGCGGTGAGGAAAATTGTTGTTCCGGGCCTTGCGACTGCTTCCATCCACCTTGACGGTAGTCAGAACACAGATGAAAAAGCGCAAACTTATGTTCTCTTTTCATAGGAAGACGATACTATCAAATAGCATGATGCGTAAATGGAAAAGCAAGCCAACGCAGTGGGTTCGTGCAGGTAGACAACGCCGAACCTATAAAAGAGCTAATCGGATGCACACATACACACACACACACACACACACATATATATATATATATATAGAGAGAGAGAGAGAGAGAGAAACGAACGTGCTGGCATTAACCTCAGGATAGAATTCCTATCTAAAAGCAAAAACAATGACTCTAAACAACCAATGAAGTTAGCAAGGTGACACTTTAACGCAAACCTGCATGAATGAGCACAACAAAAGTACTCTCAAGTCATAAACATGTAGGTAACCATATTTTAATCATGCACATTACTTCACGGCTTTCTCCGTATTTAATTATCTATACCGAGAGCCAACAGCTAAGATAACTTTATGCAGTAGATGTTGGCGCTAACAAGCCGCCAGCATGCTGTTAGAAATGATAATTTGAATGCACCAAACTACAGCATAGAACATGTTGTCGGATACACATTTTTGCGAAGAGTTCCCCTTCCGACAAATCTCCTCAGGCATTTAGGATGATAAATTAGAACGGCAGAACACACATTGCTGATAAAACCAAAGAGGTTGGAGTAGTGGAATCACAACAAACAGAAACTCAGAAGTCCTGATCAATAAAGTCCACTAACAACACATGTGACAAAGCACGTCTTGGCGCACGGTGTGATAAAGGTTGGTAAGCCAACTAGGGCCAAGGTAGAAGCAGCCCTTGCAGCAATGCTTTCTGTTTGTATAATTCCGGTTGAATTATTCTAGTCGTAAGCGCTTCGGCCGTTCGTAAGATTTGCTTCCTAAGACCTTTAGTGTACCATGGCTGTACTACGTAAAGTACTTGGAAGGCACGGAGGTCCTAGTTCGGGATACACACTTGTTCAAACTCCGAAGCTCCGAAACCAGACAAGTACGGCAACACCATAAAAACACAAGAGTTCATGTGTACGATTATCCGGAAATCAGATAGTCAGTGAAGCCAGCAATGTGTACACCTTCCGTAACGTTGACTGGAGAGACTCACTTAACTGCCTGGAATCCGTCACAATAGATAACAAGTAATCCACATTTACTCACCTTGAAATTCGACGAGGTGGCACATTCCTTGAAAAATAACCGGGCAGTGGGTTGTTTGATAGGCATACAGATGGTTAGAACGGCATCGAAGAGGAAACACCTATGTTGTTGTTCAATCCACACACTATTCCGCGGTCAGTTTCGTAATCGTTTATTGTCTGCAACTAGGCCTATTCATTTGTGTGTATGGAACAAGGGACTTTCTAATTTTTAGCTGGTACCTTGATCACTAGGCAAATGAAATCCATGATCAACGCCGAGTACAGCGTTCAGAAATTCAAAGCTGTTTTTGAAATACTCGCTTTGCGGCTAGCTTTCGACATGCAATCTAGATTGAGACCTCGGTTCACTTTGAAGTAGACCTCGGTCATTCCGATCAAGAGAATTGTTCCCGAAATGGAGGTGTTTCGACGTGGCTCCTCCCAACACTGACACCGCATGATCGGTTTCGTCCACCTTTGGACTCATCGGGCAGTGATAGAATGAGCCGAGAGTAGAACTTGTGGCTTAATGGTTAACGATTGACGCCTTGAATCCTAGACCGCTAAAATCCGTGAGCAATACTTGACAGTGCGATTAAGTATTGAGTGTTACATTTTACAGTGCCCACTACGTGTAATCCCATTTTAAATCGTAAGTTATGCTACAATAGGCTTCGGTCTGCATTTAGAGCAGATTAATGTGTGTTGTCGCTTATGTAGCATAGGGAATACTTCGAACAGAGACGTCTTAATGAAGACTATAAACTAAGACAGGAGGTGTCTATAAGCATCCCTACATCTACACTACCCACCTCCGCGTATAGTGCTCATCACAACGGATAGAATTTGATTGGGTTTTGTTTATGTAGTACCGCCAACTGCTCTCACCCCACGACCACAATACGAACACATAATCAATTCAACATTGAAAATTGGTGCGGCCAGTACGCTACCGAGCGTAAACTGGACAGATAGCCGCTTGACATTAGAACATAAAGGTGCCAATTTTGGGACACCAAAATGGAACATAGGTGCAGACGTAGACCAGTACGTTTTAGGTAATAGAGCCTGCTGTGGTCCATAAGTCAGCGTGTCTACTATAGACTTGTCCTCTGGGTGGCCGTCGAAACAGGGTCGCGTATATCATAAATCTGCCAATGGTCTAGTGTGGCTTCGTTTTACTGCCTAGCTTTTTATGTCTACTCCACATCGCATGCTCAAGTTTAGTGGCCCGCATGCGATGTTCTCTAACAGTGTTCGCTTTAACCCATCTCATCCTCCTTGTGGTCATACTGAGGTTAGTTTACGCTGGGCCACGTTAACTCCGCACTCTCTTGCTGACTCGTATGGGTAGCACTTGAGTTCATCAGAGCGGATGCGCCTTTCGCTATCAGGCCCAATTTGTCCCCCTCCATCTAATTCGGAATCGTGCTACGCTTCGGCCGTATGAGGACGATTCCATTCAGATACATCCCTCTGGTGCGTGTGGTGTCGCCCTTTCGAGTGGCCGGAGCCTGATTGACACTGACTCCGCGACGGCTCCACCCACACAAATTACTGGCCACTATCACTTCATAGCACCCGGTGAATGAAGACGCCATCCTCCATTCCAATATGATTGCCTTGGTAGCCTTATTACACGAGATGCCGAGTGAACATTTAAATCGAAATATCGGATAAATATTAATCTGCTCTTTTATACATAAGCGTGTTACGCCCGGTAGCTTGCATTCGATGCAAATGGCAAGAAATGACGCTTCCGATGACTGAACGATTGCCATTGTGAAACATATATGTCCACCTGTTTGTGCATGACCTAACACGCATAAATGTTGTGGTGCGGTAGCCAAAATTGAAATGCACGGCCAGATGCATAAAGTCACTGCTGACATGTAGAGCTCGTGAAATAGTCCAGTTAAACTAAAATGTGTGGACCTCTTCATTTGGAAAGAAGAATAATGCAAACAAATGATGGTTACATCCCAAAGACCATCCAAATGGGTATACACACCACAGGTTTTGAGGAACTGGAACATTTCCTTACCAGACCCTCGGCTGATAGTCATGAGACGCATAATCTTTTTCTTATCACTACAAAATTATCAACTCTCACACTTTCAGCAATGGTTTACAAACTACTTGTTTGCTGCACCTGACCACTATAGGATTAGCACTGTGATAATTTACGCCCACGCTATTCTGAGCCCCTTATATGCTTCCACTATGTGAACTGTTCAGTTTTCCACAGCAAAGATACAGCCAACCTCTGAATCTGACAGCCTCTTTAACTTGACCATGTTGAACCTACACCACGTAAAACATAGCGAACGAGATCTCTGTATGTTGGCCACCACTGTAAATTGTGTTTGGATGACCTTGGCTACAAATGTCATTTGTATTTTAACCTCCGAAATCGACAACGTCTATCTACTGATCACCTCCCTAATTGGGCTGTTTTATTTTTCACTGCTTGAGGTTTTACCACGTGAACCCTATGGATCCAAACCCATGTATGTTGCTCAATTTGGTCCACTCGCTTGAGTGGTCAACTTACGGAAATTATACTGTATGGGTAACGAGAAGCATAGTACCTCTGCTAGAAGCTGAACAGAAACAACGTCCACATCCTAACCGTCAAAAACATTTTGACGAAAATCGCAAAGTGCATTGAAAATATATTGGGCGTTGATAATGGTGAAGCAATGGTTGTCAAATATAAAACATCAAGATATCATCGACCGTAGTCACTGAGAAACAGTCACGGGTGTTTCGCCGGTTTTCTTAGTGAAAAAATGTTTCTTCCAACAACTCTAGGTAACCATGTTGCTTTCTCACCATCGATTATAAGTATGGAAATATCCTACTCACGAGTACACTGAAGCTACTCTGCTAGGTCGTACACAGCTGCTGTCAGTAAACGTCGTGTCTTTCGGGGCAAACGTCGTCATCATCAACGCTCGAAACTTGCATGGTAGTGGAGGACGGAGCGCGTTATATCGTAAATGATAGCAGTACGTTCCTTGAGCAATTTGAACAACACGGTAAGAAGACAAAAGCTGGTAGATGCATTCATTTCATGTTGTCTCGTCAATACTATTCATAATAAATGGTATGCAACTATATAAATAACTATACGTGTGACAAAACAAGCTTTAGGTGCAAAATGAATGACGGAAGTTCCACTCCTACCTCCACGGTAGTCTTGAGCTCACAAATAATCTGGACACTGCGCGCACATTCCGGGTGATCTTCGCATCAAATACTACGCACGTTTAACGACATGGCGAAGCGGTGGCCATCAAACAACCGGGACCCACACTATGTGTACAAAAGGATCCGTTCGTCATATGGGCTAGGCCGTGGTAGTAGGCCAGCAGACAAACAAACAAGTGTGCCAGGGATTGTCTAGAGTGTGTCGGTGTATGTCCTATGGTGAAATTGCGATCCCAACAGTACCAAATATTCATGATGCTATGTACATCTATTTGTACGCAAGCTACAGTATGCACTTGAGAATAGAGAACGTTTTCCTGATATAAATCGTGTGTTGCTATCATGCTAAAGTTCTTGTTGAAAATCTCATCAGGGAATAAATGCTTCAGTTACCTTAAAAAAATCACCTCCCGAAACACAGCGTGAAGCATCTGGAATGTCTGGTAAAGTTGAAATGCAAAATCGCCAAATTGTGTGTACAAGCGGATTTCTTTAAAAATTGCCTGGACGTGAACCAGTTCCCCGCCACTTACTGTAAACTCCTGCGCGCCAAAAGCTACGGGCGAACGCTAGGAACTTGAGACGGCTGTCTAGGGGCAACCTTGAGGAAGCCACAGAGCAACTTAAATCACATCGCCAATCCTACTTGTCCAAGGGACCAGAAGTTGCAAAACCGAACTTGGTATGTTACCTAAAGTGTATGAAATTTTTCGTGATATGGCTCACGAGACAAAGAGAATCTGATCTGAACGGTTCGAGAAAACGGTGAACCACAATCATTTTGAATATAGTTTACTTTTTGATCCACTGAAATATGTCACCAACCTTTCATCTATCTATTTAACTCGACTGCTACTTGTGGCACTGTCCTGTGGCTTGAAATTTTGTATTTCACTAACAAAGAGTAATAGCATAAAACTCAGGCGCAACTCGAGGTATTTTACTAACAACTTACTGGCCTCAAGCCAACTTCCAAAGATTATGAACAGTGGCTAAAGGCAAAGCTTGTTGATCTCGAACATCAGTACCGAATTATGAGTTCCAGACAAAAGTCACCGATCGAATCTAAACATTTGAAGGCCTTGAAGGAGTTAAGCTCGGAAGGAAAAGTAGTTATACTCCATCCAGATAAGGGGTCCGGTCCTGTAATGTTGGATAAAACCGAGTATGTAAATAAGATGATGACGATACTCAATGATCGCACCAAGTTCGAGCTAGACAATACACCTGATCACCCAGCTGAACTGGAGAGGATGATAAACACGGAGTTGCTATGTGGGTTTCTTGGGCACGTACTACGTATGCCTGGTCAATGCTTACCGAGGAGGGCCTTGTTTACTCTGTCAGAGGTAGGGAGTTGCAAAGCCCGTGATGGGCAAAAGTTAACTTTGAAGCAGTAATTGAATTCACTGACAACCCAACTCGGTGCCGTCAGTCTGTCTCACCTTCCATTCTGGAGTCTACATGACCTGCCTTGTGCTTGGTTTGAGACGTTACAGGACATGGCTCGCGGTCGACACCACTTGCGCGTCTTCTGTCGTCTCCCAGTCGGACTGCCTGCTTAAAGTGCGTTTTGTGTTGGGTTATCTACGGAGTACTAGTTGATTATGATGCAGGCCAGCGAAAGCTGGGGGAAGCTGTTTCGGTGATGCCGTCTTATCTTTGCACTAAAGCCAGCTATTTGTGATACTATGTTGTTGACAAGGTGTAGGCGCCTTGCCCCTGAGTGTCTGTATAGAGTATTAAGGTTTTATGATAGGTTGGTTATCTCTCCCTTTTATTCTTCTGCTTTCCTTAGGTCAACGTGGTTGTACGGCAGCGAAGCAGCGGTCCAACTAACTGATGTAATGCAACTGATGGTGATGAAGAGGCTTAATGTCAGGCTTGATGATTTGCAGCATAATGAAGCGAAGAAACTAGAACAAAAAGAACGCGTTGCAGTTGCTTCGGCATCGTCTGAGAGTGTCCTTGTGGTGTCGACCAAGTGCTGAATTCTACTGGTGTTTGTGTGGATTCAAAACCCGTGAGGTATATGCACCCCACCGATGTGGTCCTTACATGGATAGTGCCGTTATACACCGTAAGGAAGTGGAATCTACCTCTGCCCTTCCTGCCAAGTGCATGTTAATTGATCAACCGTGGTATAAAATGTGTGTAATTAAGCTTTTCCACTGGGATTTCCAAGTGACACTGTCAGGAAGCTGACTGGAATGTGGATCGTCCCAACTGGAGCGTCAAATCCTCTACCGCGAATAGTTTGCATATTCATTTCTACCCCAGAGGAGGGCAAATCGCTAGTGCGTTTCGCGTTCAAGCTCAAGATTAGCGATATTGGTGTATAGCCAGAACTAATGTTTTGTTAAAAGCTTGATATTAAAAGAGGCCGTCATGGATCTAAAGTGCAGGCGATCAGCAGGTGAACAGGGTCTCCTTTTAACGGGTTTTCTGCTGATCAGCCCGTGGTCTATTTACACCATAGGAGATCCCGTTCTGGTAGCGCAGGATCCAGGAGTGGTCCAACCGAACTTCTTCAGATAGTGCATAGCAGCATGTGTAGCCTAGGGAATAAGATGTATGACTTAGTTCTGCTTGCAGAGGGGTCTCAACACGATATGCATGCATTCACTGAAAGGTGGTTATCTAAGAGCATCACGCACGGTGAAGCATGTCTACCTGGCTATGCAATCCCTAGGTATGATCGCTTCCTTGATCTAAAAGGCAAGATTGTCGTTCCGTAATTGATCTGTAAGCTTGATATGTTGAACACCACCTTGTATAAGTCGGTGGACAAAACTGTTGAAACTCTATTGGTTGTGATTAACACTGCCTTGGTTCTAGTCATGCATAGAAAACCCAGCTAATACATCCAGGGAGGTGCTCGAATTTATTCGCTACCAGTCCGCAAACAGGTTTCTGATGCTAGGTGACTATAGCCTCTCGGAGATTTGCCGGGCTGACCTTTCCTGCAACTCGGCGTCAGGTACTTTCGGTGCAGATAGCCATGAGCTTTCGCCATTAGTACCGCCACATAAGTTCATAGACCTTCCCACTATATACTTGAATATCTGAGTACCCTTGTACCTAGCTTTTATCAAGTCACTTTATTTCTTTGGTAATATTACTTAATGTACTCATGAGTAGGGGATTTTGATGTAATTATGTGAGGTCCATCGCAGTCAGTTTCCAAATCAGATTTGGAAACTGACTGCGATGGACCTCACATAATTACATCAAAATCCCCTACTCATGAGTACATCAAATTATATCCGCCCTGACAGCTTCTAGATGCTGTGTCGTACATTACTACTGTTAGTGGACGTCGTGCTTTCGGGGCCAACCCTGTCCTCTGCAACGTTCGTAACTTGCATGGCAGTGGAGG